CGGTTGTGGGTGCGGAAACGTTCCGATTGAGAGTCGCCTTAGAGCTTTGTCAATATTATTGTTGCTTGGTGTAAATGATCATCCATGTGCGTCACGCATCATGTCTGTTTTTAGCCCTGCCCGACGAGGGGTCTCATCAGGTCTCAAAGATTTCATCTGCTACCAATTCACAACATGAGCTACAACCTCGCTGCACCCTCTACGTTCTCTAATGAAACTGGCTCCTTTTCAGGAGCAGGCGACTCTGGAAGAAAGGACCATCGCACCATTGCCGCACTACCCGAAATGCCAGAGGTTCGCCATGTCCAAATCCCCAATCCCGCATATGTCCCGGCTTCCAAGAGAGATTCATCCCATCCTGGAAAGCGCAAGTCTCGAAAAAAAATCCCTCGCACTATTACTACCGCAATTTACGAGCCGCGGCCGTCTACTGATCTTCCCCCAGTTCCAAAAGTAGACGACGGCCAGGTAGTGTCGTATGTGCGCCAGCTAATGAAGCGCTATGATATGACGTGGGATGAGGTTGTGGAAATGCTTGTCGCACTGCATGGTAGTCTCGAGCGTGCCGTGTGGTCAAATGAGATGGGTGAGGCTGAAGCCAAAGAGAGGCTCAATCGGTTGAACGCGCCTCCGGATGGAGTGGAATTCGGTGCCATCGGTGTGTGAGTCACTTCAGTGATCTAGAATTCAATAATATTTTCTCATAAGAAATTCCTCTAGCGTAAACCCAAGCCCGGAGAAGAGGTGACTGCCGCGCGACTAGGGCCCGACCTCTCGATCCGGGTTTGGCCTGGTGATCATAATGATTGCTATGCTTTTGATTTTGCGAACGGTCAAGGCCAGTACATTTGCACACCTGAGGACATCGAGATCTGGTCTATGCCCTCCGGACTCGGCATGCCTGCTCCCGTTCGGTCCATCGAGGCGTCGGTAGGGTTCCTAGCGACCCCCTTCTTCAATCTGGACATTAACAAGGGCAAGTTCAAACCTGATTTGAATTGGGAGACCTATATTATCCCGCAAGGCACCACCCTCCGTATCATGCAACGCGGACATGAAGATTGCTTTCTTGCAATACCTTCGCGGGAGATGAATCCTGCCAACGTCCTTGTTCTCCAGCCTTGGGCACCTATGCGAGACTGATCGGTCTGGTTTGCGCTCGCATGCGGACGCTGTCGTGAGCTTCTTCTTTTCTTCGTACGTCTTGTTATTCCGGCGTTGATGTCTTATACCTGCGGCGTGCTCAGTGTTCTTGACCTTCAATTATGTTGTTTTCTTAGTCGCAACGCGTCGAACTTCAATTGTTATTGCCGGTGTACAATGCTCATATGCCTTGTTGTCCCTAGATGCCGGGTATATTTTGAGTCGTCATAATGTCGGAGCAGAAGTAGAAGACGTGACATAAAATAGGGGTGCTCACGGTAGCCATTTTTGATCCATTCTTCGTTCGTTTTTGTAGACATAGAACGTCAAAAATGAACTGAAAAATGAACCGAAAAATGTCTACTGTGAACCTGACCCCCTTGAAATTTTGAAAAATGAGATCAAAAACGAGTGAAAAATGGAACTGCACGTTTTCCGGCACCCCGGCAGCCTTGAACTCCGCATCTTGTTGCAGACCCCGCCTTATCTTATCGCTTCTCCAATACTATCTGTCAGCTGCAATTCTTCTTTGAGTGTCAATTGGTTGGTCTTCAGTCTATCTCAGGTATTTTATCTTAATTTCTTTGCTCGTTCTGTAGTGTGTATGGTAAATAGAATGAGGTGATTGCCATATGGGGCAACAACAAGAGAATGGACAACGCCGAAATGCCCTTCGGCGACTTGAGCGCCGAAGACAAAAAATTGATGAAAAATGAATGAAAAATAGAAACATGTCAAAAACGGACACACATCCTGTTTTTGAGTCGTTTTCTAGCTCCGTTTTTTATCTCATTTTTCTAGAAAATGAAATAAAAAATGAGATAAAAAATGAATCAAATTGGCTACCGTGAACTCCCCTAATATAGAGATGAGTCTGAGGAGTGTCTGTTGTAAACCATGCTCCTGTTGAAAATACAACGGTTTCTTGAAGTTTCTCAATCACGGTGTTCTGTATACCATCTACTGTAGCATTTTGTTCAATTCAACAGGGCCCGTGATGCATGACATATCTGTCAAAATTTTGGTTTCAACAACCACACAAATTTGCCGTGACAAGCCGAAAATTTGGGCAAATTTTCGACCACTCAGCGCCGCAGGCCACGAAATTTTTTGACATTTATCACATGAGCGCCAGATGATTTCGACACCTTACAAAAATCTGCGTGACCACCGTGACATTTCAGCAATTTGAAGGGCACCGTGACATGTGACCGTCGAATTGAATGAAATGCTACAGTACTTGCATACTGGTGCAGAGTGGAATAAAACTCAACATATAGTACTCCGTCCGAGTCCCAAGCATCATATTTTGAGCCGATACCAAATCATGAGGGGCCTGAGTGGTGAGCCTAACATGAACTAAAGCCACTGAATACTATGTGTTTGTTGTGCTCACCTATTGCGCAACCCTGTTCTAAGGGGATTTAGTCGCTGAGTGGGATTCTTACCAACGGCGAGTAAGTCTGGCGAACGTCGAACGTAAGGGTTGAGTAATGGTGTGATGACCCTAAATGCAGGTCTGAATCTAGAGAGAAAGAAGAAGCCTGATCACGCGAGAGTCCGCTTATGCCCTGGATAACCACGAGCGCGGATGTCTCAACCTTCTCGGAAAGCCGCAGAAGGGAGTGAACAAGTCCCTTCGGAGAAATGGGAAAATACAAGAAAGCTTCGTTAGCTTTCACAGGAGACACGAGCTCCTAAAGTTAGTTCTATAGGAACTGACCTTGATCTCTTCGAACGCGAATCTTCAACAGGCTTGAGGCGAGTCGTGAGTACGATGCTCGTGCAACAAGATAGGAAAAGAATATGGTGTAAGAAGAAGTAATATTCTTTTCTGTTTACAAGGTAGTTATACTAAACGTGACTAAACATGACTAAGCGTGATTGCGTGACTCTGAAGATTGTAGAAGAGGAATTGCGCTAGAGAAGGATACAAACATCGTTGAATAGGAAATATAACGAGAGAGGGGAATGCCTTAGTATCGACCCCTCACACCTATTATACCTATACATTGGGGGAGGCCTACAAAGTATCGTAGATCATGTAAGTCCAGGTGGGTCTCAACTGTTTTCCTGATCATGATGAATGTCAATTAGATATTTATACATCATAGTCCTTCCTCTACGATTGTGTGCCAAAGAATCCTAGACCACCACTCTGGAATGGAGGGGTGACACCACTGCGAATAAGATTACCAGTACCATATCAGCACAAACGAAAAAAAACAGGAACATGATAAATGACTAATGTGAAGACAGTTGTACTGATCATTAAGCCAACCGCTATGGCTGTCAGGTCTCTGAGCTGTCATCGCCCATATATCTGAATACTGCATTTTTGGGGTTGAAAAGAATTCCTGCACAATG